CCCCCCCCCCCGATTTCATCCCCTTGACAACCCGAGCGACGCCGGATAGTCATGTATAGAGAGATTACATTGAAAAAAATTACTTTCTAAATTGAAATCGAGAGTGTTTGACGAGCAAGTATTTGATCGGTAAGAGCTACCTAGGCGAACTACCGATATATTGTGTATCGCAAGAAATCCGTCGCACTCGCATCGCCGATAACGCAAATAAACGAGCGCGATCGGCTGATTTATAACAGCCGACAACGGTACGGGCGCGCCTCTTCCTCCCAGCGCGAATCGCCGGCAGCATCATATCTGCCGAATTTCTTGGGGCCCGCTCTCGAAGGGCTTTTTTATTGACGGGACTATCGGTGAAACGCGGCGCGTCCGGCAAGAGCGGCCGTCAATAAAAGCGCGCATCGGCCGGTGTGATTTACGAGCCGCATGCGGAATGACGACAAAAACAGGCCGCAATAAATCGCGCGAACTACATCGGCCCCGCGGTTATTCGCTGTATATCACTTCAAAAGAATCCGTAAATTTGCCTGCCGCGCGCCAAGATCCCGCCGTAAATACCATGACCAGCATAGGTCACACACCGGGACGAGGGCGCTAGACGGCGGCGATGCGTATAGGTGGTGGCGGCGGCGGTGATATGGCACCCCATACCCCATACCCCATAGTAATTTATCACGCTAATGCTTCCTTTTATTGTCGCAACGCATAAAACCTGGGCGCTGCTACGCGTGCATACGAAGCACAACACACATACACACGCCACCCCCTTCTTCTCGGCCCGTACAATGCTGAAAATGCGCTTGTTTCAGAATAAACGAGAACACAACGCGGTCCCAGTTCCTGGCCTACTTCAGCTTCTCGTCCAAAGCGAGTACGTCCGTCGGCTGGCCGGTGAGAGGCGGACATCCGGTTAACAACACAGGTAAGGTGTTTAGTTCGCTTTGTGATAAATAATGAAATTGTGTTACGTTTTAATGCTCGCGTGCGTGTATTTTTAACCGAGTCCCCGCACGTTATTATACCGCGCCGTTAATTATGACGACGACGGAGGCGGATGGACTCTCTTCCCATTCTTTCGTTTCCTTCTTCTCTATTATCTTTTTCTTTTTTTTTTACAATGCCCGAGAAATTGAATTTTGCGGATATAATCGAACTGCGATTATCCCGAGAAAGAATCTCCCGTTGTGAGATTGAAAAGGGTCCTCGGGGTTGTTCGACACTTCGTGACGAAGGTTTGCGTTCGTCTCATCTACTAATATATTCCCCACGGATTTAAAAAACAATTAACGCATTTGCATCAGAAATTTTGGAAAATACGCCCACATTATTGAATTTTTCTTTCTTTCAGATCGATATCAAATGTAATAAAATGGAAAAAAGAGACAAATAAAATTGTAGCCTGTGGGAGCTAACCGCGGTTATTGGCCGAATACTATTTTTATATATATAATTATTTTCAAATCAGAGAATTAAATTCAAATCGATTATTATCTTCAGCTTTTCGGATCGAAAGTACACAATTTTTAATCCATTTCATTTGTTCAAATAATCCGGAAATTGGATAATTTCATTTTACTTTCTTAAAAATCCAAGAACATCTAAAGATACATGATTAAAACTCTCAATTTTAACTTCAAAAATAGGCTTTTAGTAAATAATTAAAAGTACAAAACAAAATATTATTTTAATAAGAATAAACCGCCTTTAAAGACTTTAAAGTCCTTAAAAATGTGAAATAATCTTGACACAATATTCCTATAATCCTATAAATGATATTTATATATTCCTATATACGAATAATATAGGAATAATATAAGATTGTAGATAGACTATAAGAATATAATTTATTGAATCAAAATTATTTTATACTTTTCAGGACATTTGAGATTTTTAAAGGCGCTTTACTTTTTGTAATACGCGACCCATCTTTAATACCAAATCACGATCCATTTTTGTAGATAATGGCTGGATAAAGTGAACAGATACATCTGTTTCTGATGCAAACGGGTAAAGATTCGCATTTTGCGTCTTTGGCAGGTTTAGCACTTTAAAGAAACTTCTTTTTCTCTCTCTACTCTTCTCTATCTCCCTTTCTCTGTCTCTCTTTCTCTCGTTGCCGCAGATTCGATGCGCCGCGCCCAAAGTCACGAGCCAATCACGAAAGCAGTGATCTGTCGGACAACATGAGATTATAGTGCTACGTAAACTTGGTCGCCTGGTCGCGCCCGAACGCATCTTGTTTCGGACGGTTCCTATCATAGACTATTGCTTAAACTACATGCCAACAACCTAGTTCACCACCAGCTCCCATGACGGCAACTTCATCTTCCTGTAAATTACACCCCCGTGGTGTGGCTTATCACACGAAACGTTCAGGCCGCAGGCAGCCCGTGTAGATAGCGTGTTTTTCCTCGCGCCCTTATGGCGAATTCGCGAGCCGCAGAAGTAAACTTTCGCGATACCCGAGACCGCGCGATTGTACGACTTACCCACGCGCTTGTGATTTCCTGTGCGGGGAAGGAAAGCGAACGCTTCCTCCGCGGAGACTTTCGATGGACGAAGCGGTTCTCGCGATCATTTCTCAAATCGAGCAGCCTGGCTGTTCTTCACGATGAAACGGAGGCAGCAATTTCGCCCGACTCTCCTGCTACACGAAAACGTGTCACGAAGGAAGGGAATTACTCAATTAACTTGTCAAAGCGACACTGCGTACAGTGTATTCGCAAAATTGCCGACGTGAATTTTCCATGCAAAATCAAGTTACACGTTGTCGCGGCGTACACTCGTCTTGCTCGGTTAAAGTGAACGTCGATGAGCGTCCGCCGGGTCCACGCAATTTTCAGTATCGTCTATGACATTCAAGCGGAAAATCAAAAAGTCACCATGCGAGGACAGCGACACGGCGGAGAAAAGGAGAAAAAGGAAAGAGAGAAGCGGTTTGTACGTAAGGTCGACGTTCGTCGACCTCGTACTCGCAGACGAGTGTTTCCTCTACGACGCGAAATCCAGGTTAAAATGCGAGCAAAGCGCGAGTTGTACGAGGACTCTCGTCGGCGACGATAATTTTGGAATCGAGCGGGAAAAGCGGGACACAGGGTGGAAAGTGCGAACAAATGGTCAGAAACGACGCGAGTTTCTCGCGCGGGAGAAAGGAATAGTAATTTTGCCTTGTCAGTTACATATATATATATATATATATATATATATAGAACGAAAATTATGCGAGCTTAAGTGCCGACCAGTCTGGGCTTAAGCGAGGACAAGAACAACGGAGCATTCGGCTGCATCAAGCGCGTTTAGCCGTTGTGATCGGCGGCGTTAGCGCGGGTTAAAGCTCGATCCCTCGACGGCACGATCTCTATCTTTAAACACGACGCGTTTCTAATCTCCAATACGGTCGATGCTTCTCGCCGGAGTTGTCCGGTTAGGGTTGTCCTTGGAATGGCCGTGGACTTTAGCCGGGATTATCTTGAAATAACCGAGTTCGCCCGTTCCGGGCGACGACTTTCATACCGCGGCGAGTGGTCCTCTAGTGGAAATTTTGATCCCATTCCCGATCTCGATATATCTTACTTGAATACTCTGAAACCTATATGAACCTCTTTTGATTCTATTTAACCCACTAACTTTGCCGACGGGTGCTCTTTAGAACTTACAAAGGGTATTTTATTTTTTCTGTCATTTATTAGAGGCGCTAAGAAGTAGGATTTCAGCTTCCATGTATTCCTGAATCGAAATTTTCATCCTACTTTCCATCTCAGTGTTCCATTTTCAACGCCTGCTTGATTACTCTCAAACTAATATCAATCCTTTTAATTCTATTTAACCACTAACTTTGCCGAAAAGTCTTCTTTAGAAACTACAAGTGTCATTTCATGTGTTTTCTACTATTTAAAGGTACTAAGTAGAATTTCAGTTTTTATATATATTATACAACATTGATTCTTTAGAATGTATAGATGTTCTTCTGCTTCTTCTTAATGTTGACTAAGAACTAAGTTAGAAAATTCAGGTCGAAAGTAAAACTAAAATATCGAGACCGACGGCCAGGCAGTGTTGGATATTAAAATTGATTTTAATTTTTAATATTAATTTGCCGATTATTTTAGTCAATTAATATTTTAATACCACGACGCGAGTGCAATTTAAAGGGTTTTCGATCCCGAGTTTTATCGCGCTTACATTTCGCTAAAAGTACTCTCAACGGAATGCTTCGCACGCACACTTCTGATTCAGTTAGTCTTTATCATTTGCAATCGACCATTGGCTATTATTTGATCGCGTGACGATTTTCTAGGAAGAAGAATCTGATGGCTGTACCTTGCATCGTATACAGAGGAAAAATGGAAAAGCCCTTTTAAAAAAATTGCTACCGACGCCGTTATGAGAAAAGTCTCGGATATGTACATATATATTTGTGTGTGTGCCTTGGACTTTTTGCATCTAGTAATATTGTGCAATGACATACTAGAGTTCTTTGACCCGTCCCGTCACCCTTTCCGGAAAGCACTCGCCGGAGCATTGCTCGCGAGCAACCGGTGCGCCGAATCTGCGAATAATAAAAACACACAGGGACACGTTCCCGCGATATTTCGTTTGTTGCTGCTTTTAAGAGGGAAGCACTCACTCGAGATTTCTCGGCAAAATTTTACAGCGTCACGTCTCCGCGCCACGCACGTAACGCGAGTTAAGGGCGCGTGTAGAGCTTTCGAATTTTCCACGGGGTTAAATTCACGAAAGGGAGGATGGAGTGAATCTCTCTTTCTCTCTCCTCCCCTCTTTCTCTCTCTCTTCTGTCTCTTGTGGGGTGCTTCTCTGTTTTATTGATCATCAACGCGCATTTCATTCTCGGTCAGTTCGCTGAACAAATCCCATGCGTGGGTTCAATTCCGACCGGTTGTATTAAAGGAGGAGAGGCAGAAAGAGAGAAAAGCACAGGGAAACTTCCATTTCAAAGCGTGCCTTTAAGCGCGCATCTGAGGGATCGCACGGCAAACGCGTCTCATGAATTCCAAGGAGACGCGTAATCGCGCAATCAACAATTTCTTTTGAGGCATCGCAGTGTAGAAGCGACGCGAAGAAGCGCGTCGAAAGTGACGGCAGGAAGGCGCGAAAGGAGCAAGATGGAACGCGAGGGAGGGACCGCGCACGGGCGGCGACGGCGACGACGTCGTCGGCGTTAAAAGCGACCCCGTGAAAGCTTCCCTTCACGGGCGCGCTGTAACGAGACGACAACGATTCTCGATTATCCCCGGGAGAAAGCCGCGGCGATCCATATGCGCGGGACGTACGACTGAGAGACGTGACTGTCACTCCGCCATCCGGATGAGAGAGGTCTTTTTTGGCGTTGGCACACGGTCGGCGGCCCTCGCCCTATCGGGAAACGTGCGAGAGGCACGAACGGAGGGACATGACGTAGAGTAAGAGGAAAGGGTGTGCTCGACAAGGGTGGCGGAGAAGGCGCGAGAGAGCGAAAGAGAATGAGAGAGGAAGAGCAGCGGACGAAGGCACCGCCCGATTGACAAACAGATCAATCGTGGGTGGAAAGACGATCCGCAGTCTTACCACTCGACCTGGCTCCAGCTCTCTCTCTCTCTCTCTCTCTCTCTCTCTCTCTCTCTCTCTC